ATGTTAATTCGCTGGGGCATAACAGTGGCGGCGGTTCCTATCCAAAGGCCTGGCGGAAGAGCTCCGTCTTGCAGGCCCTGCGGAACTGAGAGAGGTCCCGCAGGGCCCGGATCTCCTCTGGGAGCTCCTTCCACCAGGTAGGAGCCGCCACCGAAAACGCCCCAGCCCTAGTCACAGCAAGTTTAGTTTCTCTCGGGCCTGGAATTTCCAGGAGATGTTGCCCTCCCGACCGAAGTGCCCTTGGGGGAACATATGGAGAAAGGCGGTCCCTCAGGTAGGCTGGACCCTGGCCATTTAGGGCTTTAAAGGTCAAAACCAGCACTTTGAAGTGAATCCAGTATGCTATTGGCAGCCAGTGCAGCGCTTTCAGCACAGGCTGAATGTGGTCCCTCCTCGAGAGGCCCATCAACAGCCTGGCTGCAGCATTCTGCACTAGCTGCAGCCTCCGAATTTGCGACAAAGGCAGCCCCATGTAAAGAGCGTTACAGTAGTTGACATGGGCCAGTCTAACACCTCATCCCGCTGCCTGGGCGGATCCAGTCTCGCCCGTAAAGCATTAAAGCAAGAGGTGAGGCAGGACAAGTGGAGGCCTTTAGCGAGGGACTGGCTTGCTCGCAGCTTGGCTCTCCCGGCAGGGCATCTGGGGACAGCCGAGGCTTGCCTGTCTTTGAACTGAAAGGCGTCCCCCGTGAAAAAATTTGACCGAGGTGACCCGGCTGGCCAAAAGCTCCCTGTGCCTTTGAGGCCACAGCTGAGAAATGCGGAGTGTTGCAATTTCCATCCTCGCTGCGCCTCTGAGGTCGAAACAGCTGGACAGGGGCCCTCGCCAAGTCCATCTGGAGCAGCGGGAATCCGACCTCAGTGCAGGGCTGGGCTCTCTGTGGCTTCTGATGCTCCTCCAAGCTTCCAGTGAACAGATCTGGGTCGGTTGTTTGATTTGGGGGGGGCGGGGGTGTTTCGTAAGTAGTTTGGAGGTTTCTCCGCCCATAACCACAGCTCCAGCGAACCGAGGCGGTCTTCCTTCCCATCTGGAACACAAACTCATCAGAAGTTCAGGCAGCTTTGGAAACACTGGCCATCAAGTCCGACGGATTCCCCCAGTTTACAACTTGGTTGCAGGATCGGGTGTCGAAAATGTACGGAATGCTGAAGGCCAAAGAGCAAAGGAGGGCGACCGAGATGAGTAATGTGGGGAAGCGCATCTATCATGCATAAGCTGGAGAAAGGGCAAAGGAGGGCGACCGAGATGATTATGGGGTTGGAGCACGTTTCCTGTGGGGAAAGGCTGACTAGTCTAAGACGTGGGTGTCAAACATGTGGCCCGGGGGCCGGATGAGGCCCCCGGGGGCTTCTTTCTAGGCCCGCAGTGGAACTGGCTATCTTCTGCTGCTTCTTCCCGTTCTGCCGCTGCTGCGTCATCGTAGGTTTGCAGCTTACAGATACACACCTGAACAGCATACATCTCCGCTACCTGGCATTGCATTTCATGACACGCATGGCCCGGCCCAACAAGGTCTCATTTACTCATAACAAGTGAGTTCGACACCCCTGGTGTAGGATTTCTCAGTTCAGAAAAGAGACAAATTATGGCGGAGACATGATAGAGGTTTGTAAAATGATGCTGCACAGGGCAGAGAGAGAATGAGCCCCGAGATAACTCCTTGTTGCAAAACTCTAGAACCTGGGGCATCCAATGAAGTTGAATACTTTACTCAATGAGTGATTAAAATGTGGGCTTTGCCACCAGATGGTGTAGTGATGGCTGCAGGAATAGATAGCTTTAAAAGAGGATCAGACAGATTCACAGAGGAGAAGTCTACGAGTGGCTACTAGCCCTGGCGACTGAAGGGAACCTCCACATTCATGATGGATGGATGACTGAAGATGGATGGATGGGTGGGTGATGGATGGATGGATGACTGAGGATGGATGGATGGATTGGTGGGTGATGGATGGTTGGATGACTGATGATGGGTGGATGGATGACTGATGATGGGTGGATGATGGGTGGATGGATGACTGATGATGGATGGATGGCTTGGTTCCAACCACCTCTGCCACATTCATAACGGACCGGCTCCAAAACCCATCATATAGATGGATGGATGACTGATGATGGATGGATGACTGAAGATGGTTGGATGGATGGGTGGGTGGGTGATGGATGACTGATGATGGGTGGATGGATGATTGATGATGGATGGATGATTGATGATGGATGGATGGATGACTGATGATGGATGGTTGACTGATGATGGATGGATGGATGATGGGTGGATGGATGATGATGAGGCTACCAGCTCCTGAACTCTTCTTCTGTTCCTCCCTAGGCTCTTCACCGACCCCATATGACTTCCCCACTCCGGCCTCCTCTAGCCGCAGCTCGGCAACGGACGACTTCTGCTACGTCTTTGTGGTGGAACTCGAAAAGGGGCCCATCGGCCTGGGCATGGGGCTGATCGACGGCCTGGTGAGTGGCGCCGCCTCGAGCGGCTCAGTTCCAACCCCCTCTGCCACATCCATAACGGACCGGCTCCAAGACCCATCATATAGAACAGGGGGTCCCCCACGAGATGCCTGTGGGCATCACGTCACCTACCGACGCCTTTCCTGGTGTCCCCCCCTCAATGTTTTTAGAAAGTGGGTGGAGCCAGTGAAGTTTTGGCCCAGGAAGGCTTCTGATTGGCCGTTGGAGATCTGATTGGCCCTACAGATTTTTTTAAAGTATTGCTTTGGCAGCGGCTGCCACCACAGCACAAGGATCTGCACCTAAGTTGGGACCCATGTTGAGCTGCGGGCGCCATTTTGTGGCTCCACCCTCCATGCTGGGTCAGAGCTCCGTGGGTGTCCGCAGGCTCAGACAGTATGGGGACCCCCGATATAGATCCGAACAGCATTACAGGAACATGCAAAGGTGACCCACAGAGGGCTGCACGGCGGATTCCTGTTGCTTTGGGATTATAGATTAGGCTCCCATGACACCTTTGCCCGACGCCCAGGGCTTTTTTGGTAGAAAAAGCCCAGCAGGAACTCATTAGCATAATAGGCCACACCCAACAGCAGGAACCCATTAGCATAATAGGCCACACCCCTGCCAGCACAGCTCATTGGCATATTAGGCCACACCCCCATGTTACCAGAAGTGTGCTCATCCAGCCACACCCACCTTTTGCTTCTTATTCTGTTTACCTTGTTTGTTGTCCTCCAATTCCAGGGCTTATTTTGGAGCAGGAACTCCTTTGCATGTTAGGCCACACACCCCTAATGCAGCCAATCCTAATGCGTGTCTGCTGTTGGGTGTGGCCTGTTATGCTAATGAGTTCCTGCTGGGCGTGGCCACCTTGGAAGCCAGCCGGAACTCCGTTCCTGTGCGTTCCTGTCCCAAAATAGCCCTCCCGACGCCCTTCCCCCCTCACCTCCAGCAAACGAGGCAACATATTGTTAATTCAGAAAACTGCCCTGCAGCTCCCGTTGCCTTTGGTGCTCAGCCCCGTGGATATTTGAAGGCTGCAGTTTGTTAGTCCCCGTGGCTGGTTTAAACTGTTATTTTAAGGTTGGAAGGGCAGGTGACACTTTGGGCTTGGGTGGAAGTTTTCTAAGTCCTCTTGGTCGGTAATTTAGTTGGGCAGAAAGGCGGACTACTGAGTTTCCACAACAATACCAGATGTTCAGGTGGG